CTTCTGTCCTCTGTGGGCATTGCACAACACGGGTGCACTTACCTACATGCAGGCAATACACACATACACATAAAATAAATATAATATATAAAATAAAAAAGAAATGTGTTGTGAAGATAAGGAATTTGTTCAGCTACTGTTTCTTTCGAAGTATTGATTATGGCAAGTTTTCAGATGTTGCTAATTATTATAGACATGGTTAACTTTGTCCAGTGACAATTTTCATAGGTGGGGAAATTGTCCATAATATTTTTCCAAGACTATCACAATTTGGTTTTGAAAAAGTACCCCACCCCCTAACACTGCTTGCTGCTTTGTGCTCACCAAAACAAAAGAAGAAGGGAGCCTTGGCTTATAGAGGTTTACAACAATGGTTACGGACAAATACAACCAGATTAGCATGCCTATAATGCTAGGTGTTCTGGGGTGTACAGGTGTTTCAGAGACATACAGTGATAGAGGGCATCTGAAAATGAGTTATGCTAAGCATGAAGAGTTGGGGAGGGTTCTTGTGCTGAGTTTTGAGAAGGAAGGCAGATTTTCACATGTGTTCTCAAAGGAACTTTCACTCTCCCACCAAGAGATAGGGGCATATATTTCTTGCCCTTGAATGTGAGGGGCCTTTATGAGCACTGTGATGGAGGGAATTCTGAGGCTGGGCCACAATAGGTGACATGGATTCTTCCTGACTCTCAGGCTGGAGACATAAGCATTGGACCACGTGAGAAATCTGGCTGCCCTGCATACCAAGACGACCACACAGGAGAAACAAGTTGGAGCAGAGAGTAGCCTGGAGAGTACCAGCTGTTCTCGATCCTATCTGTTGGGTTCTCTATAGCCTGAGTTCTGAACACATGAGAGAAAAGACTTTAGAGGACCTGTCTGGATACAGCTATGGTCTTTCATCTCTTAATAACATTCTGGGAACTTGTCATTAGTCCACGTCATCACTGAGTATGCTTACACAAACTAAAACAGCCATGATATCACGGGGTGATACAGTCTTTGGATCCACCATCATACATGTAGCCTCTTCCTGACTGAAATGTAATTATGCTGTGCAGGGCTCTATTTGAGACTTTCTGATCAAAAACTACCCAAGTAAGCTCAGTGGATCCTCAGAATCATGAGAGTCCACACAGTAAATAGTAGCTCTAAGTCATAGTGATTCTAAGTAGTTCTAAGCCACTTTGTTTAAGGATTCCACTCAATAATAAATAACCATATAGTAGATGGGAGAAGAAAGACTGTAATTATGCTGTGCAGGGCTCTATTTGAGACTTTCTGATCAAAAACTACCCAATTAAGCTCAGTGGATCCTCAGAATCATGAGAGTCCACACAGTAAATAGTATATCTAAGTCATAGTGATTCTAAGTAGTTCTAAGCCACTTTGTTTAAGGATTCCACTCAATAATAAATAACCATATAGTAGATGGGAGAAGAAAGGCTTCCAGGCAGAGAATCTTTCCCTTGAAACTTCCATTCAGGTTTCTGTCTTCAGCTGTCCACTCTATGCACACAACACCTATAGCTCTAACTGTGGTCATCCCTTCTCCCAAACTGAGGTATTTCTAACTGCGTTCTAGATAGTAATGTCTGGGTATCCTACCCAAATCTCAAACTCAGTGTATCATAAGATGAGTTCAAAATGATGCCCTGGAAACATGATTTCCTGTTCTCCATGTTTATGTTAATGGCTTCAATCCAGTCCTGGTTTTCTAAGCTGTTAGCTGTTAGCTTTGGTGATTCCTTCTCCTGAAATTTCATGTGTATTCATTCCCTATATCCAAGAGTTTTTCTACAATATTTTATACCTGTTGTACTATGAGAATCACCATCTGTCCTTACCCTACTTCTAGTCAAGTTAAGACCCATAACTTAGATCAGTACCCCACAACTTGTCCCCAATTCCCTTCAATCTCTACACCATGCATTTTTATTTACCACAGAGCAACTCTGATCATGTCATCTTGATTTTGCTCAAAAACTTCCAGCAGCTGGGCTGGTAAAATAGCTCAGTCAGTAAAGCACTTGTCATGCAAACATAAGGACAGTTTAACCCCCAGAACCCATTTTTAAAAACTGGACATGGCAGAGTGGTTATAATTCCAGGGCTGGGGGTGAGGGTAAGAGACCGGTGGACCTCTGGAGTTCACTTGACAGCCTGCCTAGCTTAGTTGGTAAGAGACCCTATCTCAAAAAAACCAAGGTGCATGGCCCCTGAGGAATAACACCCAAGGTTGTCCTTTAGCCTCCAAACACATACATACATGTGTACCCACACATGCATGTATGAATGTGCACACATGAACTTCCAATAGCTAACCACCTCCCACCATTATATTGCCAAAGTTATAGTAATGTAAAGGGAGGAAAAGGAAGAACATGACTTTCACCTTGAGAAGGTGATGAAGTGATACTCAGTTGACAAGTAGGGAAGGCAGATTCAAATAGAGTGCAGGAGAAGGCCTTCTGTGTTTTCTGACAGTCTACATGCCCCAGCATTGTGTCACCAAGTGTCCTATAGCCCTGAGCATTTGTCACCTGGCGGGGCCATATACACCTAAGTTAAAATGCCCGGTCTTCCATCTGCATGGACGGGTATGGCTGGATCAAGGAGATAAGGTGCACAGGGGATCAGCCTTGGGTGGTGGGGACTAGTCAGCAGTGCAGACCCATGGGTCTAGTCCATGAGTAAGAGCAGTGCTTGGGTCATTCCCTGGGGTGGAGTAGGGGCTGGGTATACAGCAAGTCAATGAGCTTCTGCAAAACAATCAAGTTGGGTAAGAGCTATTGTTGAGCAGCTCGGACTTGGCTCTGTCCAAGGAATCTTTACATAATCATCTGCTTCGTGTGTGTGTGTGTGTGTGTGTGTGTGTGTGTGTGTGTGTGAGAAGTCAGAAGTCAATGTTAGGTGTCTTCTTCAATTGCTCTCCACCTTCATCTTTGAGATGGGGTCACTCACTCAACTTGTAATTTGACTATACTGGCTGGTCAGCACCCCAAGGATCCTGCTGTCTCCACCTCCCCAGCACAGGGATTACAGGTGCTGCCACACACATCTTTTTTTTTTTGGTCTTTTTTGAGACAGGGTCTCCCTGTAGCCCCAGCTGTCCTAGATTCACCATGGAGGCCAGGCTGGCCTTGAATTCACAGAGATCTGCCTGCCTCTGCCTCCCAAGTGCTGGGATTAAAAGCGTGCGCCACCACACCCGGCCTTCACACACATCTTTTTAATACAGGTTCTGGTGGCTCAAACTCAGGTCTTCATGCTTGTGCAACAGGCATTTTACAACCAAGTCTTGTCCCCAGCCCTCATCCTCTTCTTTTTAAAGTGGAAATTACGAGTTACCTGATTCCATCATTCTTCTTTCTTGGGTGAAGTGGTTGAGCAATTGACAGAGCAGGGCAGGGGTGGTCAAGCAGGGGGATGGCAGCAAAGTGCTAGGAGGAGGTCAGTCAAGCATTCCAATGTCTAGGATTAATCAGTGGTCCCACAATGCTGATACTTTAGCAATCTGGAGAAATGCAGATACACACACACTCAAAAAACCCTGCCTTCTATGGTTGAATTGGTCAATATGAAGCATCAGATTATACAAGCCAATGTGCAGATCATGACAAAAGCTCTTCTAAAAGTGCCAAGCCTAGGAAGCCCAGGGTTGGCAAAGAACTGTTGGCAAAGGGCTGTTTGGATGGTGATGAGGCCTGCCTGTCTCAGAGCTTTGGCAGCCATGGTGGCTACTGGCTCCTTCCAAAGGCTTGTTACCAGGAGCCTCTTGTGTCATTGGCAGCTAGGTGAAACTATAGGAGAAATACACTCTGGTAGATGAGGCCACTTTGGGACAAATAGCTGGAGAGTTTATGTAGACATGCCAGCCTATTCCAGGAACCCCACCTAGGTTGGTACAGTAAAATGGTCATTTGAGTGATTTGTTATTCATCAACAGCTATTAGCCAAATTCTTACTGTTGACAGCCTATATGATGCTAGGGAAATAATGGAGGGAAAAGTGGTCACTGGCTTCAAAGAATTCACAGTTCTTAAGGGGAGACAGACTAGTAAAAGATGATTTCAGAACAGTCTGATGAAATCTTGGAGGCACCAGGTAGCTGAGACATCGAACTCTGCCCTGGACATCTGTGCAAATGTGCTGGAGAGAATCTTGATAATTCCTTGAACACAGGGGACCCATCTGTGTTCCCCTAACCCATGCCAGAAAGCTCTCTAAACAGAAATTTGGTACAAAAAGCCCATATGATCTTTGACTCTCAGGAACTTAAGAAATCTTTGGTATTTTAGGGGACAGCTCACCCCAGTATTGCAGGCTGGGGTTGGGGAGGTAGAGTCTCAAAGTGGCTATACCATTACAAGTTTCTGGCTTGGTAATTCTCTCTGGTGATGTGTCAGTCCACTGTGGGTGTGGGAAGCTAAATCTGGCATCCAATTGCTGAGGTGCCTGGGCTTACAAGCATGGGGGACGCCAAGCGTTCTCACCTTTAATCTCCAGAAACTGAGGCGGGGGTGGGGGGCAACCACTAGGTTGAGTCCAGAAGTAGATGAAGGCCTTTCCCTGACTACTCTTCTTGTGTGAGCACAGCCTTTTTTCAACTCCTTCCTGTCTCCCTGCCCTACTCAAAGGACTCCACGGTTACAAGTCTGACAGGCCAAAGTCCAGACCATTGGGTCCTATTTGACTGCACTTTATTGATAAGCTGTGGTCTTATTGCACTTCAAAGGTATCCGCTCCATTTTGCTTTCTCTCTTCTACTTCCTACTTTGGGGCTAGGAAGGTCTTGGCCTCTGAGGCCTGCCACGCTTTTGCTTTCCTCCCAGAGATGGTGAACAGACCCAGTCCAGGCTTCCTACTCAGCACCTAACTGTCTATGTCTCTCTATCCCTGCAGAATGTGCAGCTAAGGGAAAAAATTAGACTGGGGCTTGTTCACCCTCTTGGAACATGTAGCACCTCCAGATTAAGATTCAAAAGGGAGAGAAGTGGGGACCTTGTTTAGATTCCAGCTATATGATAGAGTCAATACGTTCAGCATCTGCCTGTGGCTGTCTGCTACTAGCAAGGCTAATAACAAATGGCATTTTAAAATTCTTATCCTTCCACTCCTCCTTATTTAGACTCCCAAGGGGTAGGGGATGATTGACAGGGTGGCATTTCTAGTTTTCCCGAGGCCCTGGCTATAATACCATTATGATATTTGTAATTCTACTGGAGCTTTAGCTGCAGCCTCTAATGGCCCCCTGTGGAGGGAAAGCAGAGCCTTCTGCTTATAGACATGTTGGACTGAGCCCAAAGTCCTTGGGATCCTCCTAGCATATTGGCCCAACTTTAGGAAACAGCACTGAGAAGAGAGACTGGGCAGATCATGCTTGGGGTGAAAGTATCAGGCACGTCCCCAGCTCTCCTGAGGGAGAAGGCTGTGCCAGGTGCTCAGCTTTGCCTGGGTGGTGATGCATTGAGGCAGAAGTCTGCCAAGGTTTACAGCAGGGAGTCCTGGGCCAACTGGTCCCAGGGAAAAGGGTGTCAGGGGTGGACAGAGAATCATCCAGGTCTCCTTTGGACTTATCTTCAGGGTACTCTTAATCTTAGATGAATCCTGGCCAAAAAACTGTCATAGTGAGCTAAATAATGAGCCTCCAAATGTCCATGCTTCATGCCTGGAACTTGTGGCTATATTGTTATATGGCCAAGAGGACTTTGCAGAAGTAAAGTTGTAGATTTTGAAATGTTTACAATTTCAAAAAGCTTCTGATTATCCTAAATTATTCATATGAGTTCAGTGTAATCGGCACCTAAATTAGTCAACTTTGCATTACTGTGACAAAATATCTGAGACTTGTAAGATAAATACTTTATAAGGAAGGAAGGTTGTTTTGGCTCATGATTTCAGAGGTTTCAGACCACAGTCCATTGGTGCCGTCACTTTTGAGCCTGTGGAGAGGCAGAAACACCTGGTAGAGGCACAGGGCAGAAGGTGCTACTTCCCCTCAGGGCAGCCAGGGGAGGAAGAGGACAATATGGGTCCTGACATCAAAGATGTCCTCCTAATGATCTAACTTCCTTCCACTAGGACCCACCACCTAAAGGTTCCAGGACCTCCCAAGGATTCCACAAGCTAACAACCAACACAGAGGTGGAAGTAGGGCAAGTGACAGCCCCAAGTTCATCCAATGAATCTACTCCTCTTTTTGCAAAGACAGTAAGCCAACTGAAACAAATGGGGAAAAACTGTGTTCACATCCTCTGGCTGCCTAGATTGTAGTACATAAGCACTGTGTCCACGTGGCTCCTCAGGAAGGCTGGGCTTATCCTTGGCTGATACTGCAATTCAGAGGTGATATAATTCTGAATTATATCACTGAATACTGAATCAGTCCAGGGCCTCAGGGCTGGGTGTCCTTGTGGCTCATATGCTCCTTTTTCTCTCCCTCTTCCTCTCCTTTTCTGCCTTCCCCCCGTCTCTTCCTCCTCCTCCTCCTCTCTCTTTTATTTTTTAAATGACAGAGTCAAGCTACATAGCCCAGTCTGGTCTCCAACTCACAACCCTTCTGCCTCGGCCTTCAGAGTGATGGGATTACAGGCTAAATCACCACACCCAGTGGCTATCTGTATTTTATTAAAGGTGTGTTAGGTGGGATGCCTAAAAGACAAATTGTGGGGCCAGGGGCATAGCTCAGTGGTAAAGTGTTTGTTTAGCATGCACAAGGTTCAGTTCCTAACAGTGAAAAGAAATCCACGAACTGATCTTCACAGGGATGCTCCATAGTCTCTTGGGCTCTGGTTGTGAACAGGGGGCTCTGCCTCTTGCTCACCTTCATAGGTAGTATTTTCATAGATGGCATCTGTGACAGTCCTAGTCTATCACCTGCTTTCTAAGTGAGGTGACCCCCTCAGCTGCCCTGAGGCCTTTTGAGCAAGAAAGTCATCAATGGACAGGGGACAGGTATGTATCATGTCGGGGGGTGGGAGCACAGCATATCCCATGCTTCAAAGCAGAGTTATGGCAATAAAGGGTAACTGTGGTTCTTTACCCTATGAACTGAGAGTCAGCAGACAGGTCTTTGAGTTCTCCTGTAGACTGGGTCAGATAGAACTATGTCAACTCTTTAACAGTGTATGTTCTTGCTTATACATGGATTTGAAAATTGATCTCAAGTAGAAAATAGAATGATAGTTACCAGAACCTGACAAGGATCTCGGAGGTGGTGGAAAAAAGCTTGGTTAATAGATTCGGGGTCTGGTCGAGTAGGAAGAATATTCTATAGCACAGTGGGACAATGAATTGAATATTTTAAGATAGCTAATAAGACTGTGAATGACCCCAAATATAGAAAAGTTGTGGCTCTCTGGGGTGCTAGGTATATAACAGTACTGATTTGATCTTTATACAGGACACATGTGTATTAAAATATCACGTTGGACCCCATAATGTGTGCCATTGCTGTAGATTAATTACAAATCAAAATAGATTTTTAAAAACAAAGGCATGGGCTTACAAAAAGAATTATATCACCTCTGAATTGCAGTATCAGGCAAGGATAAGCCTAGCCTTCCTGAGGAGCCATGTGGACACAGTGCTTAGGTACCACAATCTAGGCAGCCAGAGGATGTGAACACAGTTTTTTTCCCAAAGTTGGCTCACTGTCTTTGTAAAAAGAGGAGCAGATTCACTGGATGAACTTTGGGATGTCACTTACCCTACTTGTCAGCAAAATGACCAGCCTACTCAGAAGAGGGGAAACAAGGCAAAATCACACTTGTCCCATCTCTCCTGGCAATCCAGGTGGTGGGAGTGATAGCAGTTTAGGAAGGAAATGAAGGCTACTTCTCTTCACCAAATCTTTTTAGCAAATGAACAAATTAGCCAGGGATCATGACAAACAGATTATAACTGTTAAGTCTAAATCCTAAAAGCTGCTGACATTGACCAAAATAACAGGGAGAAGAGTCAAGATCTCCCTCAGAGGAATTTAAGCTAATGGCAGACAGAACTGGCCTCAGTTACAGACAAGCAGATAAAAACTCAGCATGGAACCTATGCAAAAAGGTATCTGCAAAGAAGGACATGGTAGGAAGAGGATGGATGAAGAGAATTCTTCAGAAGAATAGCAAAGCCTTGGACTGATGAGGGGCCAGAACACAGCCTTTCATGCTCTACTGGTGGTGACACAGATTGTTCCAGCTCCTCTCTCAAGCACCGAGGCATGGTAGGAATGATCATGCTAAATGAGTGTACCTTTGACCCAGCAACCCTATTTCTTACCATATTCCCCAAGACAATAATTGCCAAAGCATACAAAAAAAATCTAAAGACAAGGACTTCCATCTCAGTTTTGCTTATAATATTAAAAAATGGTGGTTTATCAATAGTGTTAAATCATAGGTTAAAGAAATAATGTCACTGCAATATACCACATGACAATATAAATCTCAATTTGATGCAATGGAAATTTGCTGACGACATAATAATTGAGCACAAAAAGGAGATAGCAGACCAGTACGGTCCCCTTTGTGCAATATTTTAATAAGTGCACAACCGGGGGTATCTGGACTCATGTTCACCCTACCTAACAAGTGAATTTGCTTCATTCTTTGTACGTTTCTGTGTGATCTCAATATTTATAATGAACATGAATCTTTAAAAAGAATAAAGGTGTTTGAGAGAAATCTATAATCTACAGGCTATCATGGATCCACGGCTGACAAGTTGGAATATGTCAGTTGTTGGTGGGATTTGTTACAACTGACATCAGTATATGTTAGACATTTTGTTTCAATTCAAAACATACAAATGAACAATCACGCACTGATCTTGGCATGAGGGTATGGTATTCTCTTTCATGTCTCATGAAACTAATCCAAGTACAGAATCTTTCTAGGTCGTTCTCTGAAGTATTTGCTTATATTTAATTTGAAACTGATTTTTAAGAATTCACCTTTACCAAGTGAGTAATTATATTAGAACTCTCTAGAGAAAGAGAACCAATAGAAGAAATGTGCATTACAAAGGGAATTTATTAGATTGGCTTACATGATATGCACTGGCTAGTCCAACAATGGCTATATGAACACTGGAGAAACTGAGAACCTGGTCAGTCCACGAGGCTGGATTGCTGAGCCATTCCAGTCTGGCACTGAAGTCCTGGAGGATTCCTGGAGACCCCACCAGTCTTCAGTGTAGGTTAGAAGGCCACAGAAGCGAGATTCCAATGTCAGCAATGGATGGATGCAGCAGAAGCAGCCATAGACATATGCCCTTACCAGCAGCATGTGAAAGCAGGCAGGTAAAAGCAACCCTGCTTTTCCCTCAGGCCTCTTTATATCTGGACCAATACCAGACTGTACTGTTCACGCTAGGGAAAGGTGTTTCCCCTTCGGTTAATTCTTCTAGAAAATACTCTCACACATTTCTCTTAGTTGATCTCAGATCTAATCAAGTTGATGACCAAGATTAACTATCACAGTGATCATTCCTAATACTCTTCCTGTCTCATCTTTAGATTCAGAATGGAACTGTTGGGAGCTGAAGAAATGGCTCAGCAGTTAAGAGTGCTTGCTACCCTTGCAGAGGACCCAAGTCCAGTTCCCATCACCCGCATTGGGCAGCTCACAACTGCCTATAACTTTAGTTCCAGGGGAATATGATGCTCTCTTCTGACCTCTGTGGGTTTTGCACAACACTGGTGCACTCACATACATGCAGGCAATACATTCATACACATAAAATAAAAATAATAAATTAAATATTTTTTACAAGAAAGAATGGAGCAGTTGAACATTTGCATTTCCAACTTTCTCTGTAGAGGGGGTGGCCATGTAGTGATGTTCCTGCCCATGAAGAGGTAGGTATTAACAATCTGCTATGTGTTTGGGGGGCAGTATGAGCTTTCAGCTTTCCATTTAGCTGCCTAGCTGCCAACATTTTGTCCCTTTACCTTTGCTGTACTTTCTGTACTCTTTCCTTTACACCACTAGACCTAGCAAACCCACTGGGTATGGCTGCCTTTGCTGGGTTCACTGTGGGTTTGTGGATTCCACTGTATTAATTAGAAACTGGAACTGTACCTGCAGGGCATTTCAGTAGTGTATCTACTGTGCTGCTGCTCCTGAATGCAGCCACCTCCATCAAACATTGTTGCCATCACACTCTTGCCCACCTCCTCCAACTCCCCAGTTTCATGATGTTGAAGCTGTACAATGGTCGATAGCAAACTTCAGGAAGACAGAATGCTCTCTACCCTTGAGTTGCTACACTCATTTAGAGGATCATTTAGATGGTTGATTGTCAACTTGGAAGGATCTAGAATCCATAGGAGACAAGTCTCTGAGGCATGTCTGTGAGGAAGTTTCTAGATTGGGTTTAACTAAGATAGGAAGACCCACCCTAAATGTGAGAGGCACCATTCCGTGGGCCTGGGTCTCAGACTGGATTAAACGGACAATGTGAGCTGAGCACCAGCATTCATCACTCTGTTTCCTGACTAGAGACACAACGTGGCAACCGCCTCCCTTCCTGATGCCCTGCCTCCCCACCATGATGCACTGTATCCCCTTGAACTGTGAGTTAGAATAAAGCCTTCCTCCCTTAAGTTGCTTTTGTCAGATATTTGCTCATAGCAACAAAGTCATTAATACACTCCCCAAGTGAGAGCTATTCATTCCCCTCTGGCTCCCAGAGTTTTCAGTGAATTCTGTGAAGGTGTTTCCTGGAAGGATTCACTGAAAAGGAAACAATCTCCCCCAGAGTGAGCAGTGCCTTCTGATAGTGGCCCAGATATAGAGGTCTGAGAGGAAAGCCCTGCAGCTTCTGCTTGCCTTCCTTTCAATGAAGGCTTTTCTATTTAAATTCACATTCTTTTGCTGTCACCTGAACCATGGGAAATTGTCTTGGGCAGGTCGGAGTGAAGGACACCCAGCTATAGATAGAATTA